AACAGCAGGCCGCACTAAAGACGGACAGACAACAGCAGGCCGCACTACACACGAACAGACAACATTAGGCCACACTACATACGAACAGACGGCAGCAGGCCCCACTACAGACGGACAGACAACATTAGGCCGCACTACAGACGGACAGACAACCGCAGGCTCCACTACAGACGGACAGACAACATTAGGCCGCACTACACACGAACAGACAACAGCAGGCTGCACTACAGACGAACAGACAACAGCAGGCCCCACTACAGAAGAACAGACAACAGCAGGCCCCACTACAGACGAACAGACAACAGCAGGCCCCACTACAGACGAACAGACAATAGCAGGTCCCACTACAGACGAACAGACAATAGCACGCCCCACTACAGACGAACAGACAACAGCAGGCCCCACTACAGACGAATAGACAATAACAGGCCCCACTACAGACGGACAGACAACAGCAGGCCGCACTACAGACGAACAGACAACAGCAGGCCGCACTACACACGAACAGACAACAGCAGGCCGCACTACAGACGGACAGACAACAGCAGGCCGCACTACAGACGGACAGACAACTGCAGGCCGCACTAAAGACGGACAGACAACAGCAGGCCGCACTACACACGAACAGACAACATTAGGCCGCACTACATACGAACAGACGGCAGCAGGCCCCACTACAGACGAACAGACAACAGCAAGCCGCACTACAGACGAACAGACAACAGCAGGCCGCACTACAGATGGATAGACAACAGCAGGCCGCACCACAGACGAACAGACAACAGCAGGCCGCACTACAGACGAATAGACAAAAGCCAGATCCACTACAGCTGCACCAACAACAGCTGGTCCAACAACCTGTGGCAACCCAGCCAAAGGGGGTGGGCCTCAAAGTTGACAAGTATGTGTACGGTGTTCCTCCTCTCTGCCGCAACGCCAACGTCAGCGGCTCCACCTGCACTCTTGAGAACGACTACGTCAAAGTGGTGGACTTGAAACAAGGTACAAATAGGAACAACCGCGTCGCCTCCACCTACACCTGCGCTGACGGCTACCACGACGCCTACTCCCCCGTCCTGGACGCCATGACTTTTGGCACCAAACTTCAAGCCAGTTCTCTTTGTCCACTACAGCACAAACTACGAGAATGCCTTCTGGGACGGCAGCAGCCTCGCATTCGGCGATGGTCTAGACGCTTTCTATGCACTGGTCAACCAAGACGTTATTGCTCATGAACTCGCCCATGGTGTCGCCGAACAAAACTCTATCCTCATCTACGACGATCAATCTGGCGAAGCCTTCTCGGATATTACAGGGGAGACAACTGAGATGTTTGCTCGTGGCTCCAACGACTGGTTCGTTGGCTCTGAATTTTTTAAAAGCACAAGTGGTGCCCTATGTTACTTTGATGACCCTACAAGAGACAGGCGTTCCCTCAAGCACACAAGCGACTACAACATTGTCGACGTTCATTACAGCAGCGGCATCTTCAACCAAGCCTTCTGCCAGCTCGTGGAGGTCAACAATATGTCCATCACAAAAGCGTTCGAGTGTTTCCTCAAAGCAAACGTCATCTACTGGGGTCGTTCCACCACCTTTGAGGAAGGCGCCTGTGGCGTCATGCGCGCTTGCTACGACCTCGGCTACGACTATCCTTCCAGGTAGTAGGAGTCAGTTTCAGTGGGTGTGCTGAACCGACCTTCATGGAGACGTTATCTGACAGCGAGACCCTGACTGGTCTCACCGAGATATTTTGTTATTATTTAACATGTGTTTATGAAATTTGATAGCTGTGTTTCCAGTTTACACCAGAGATGGTGGGTAGAGGTTTATGTGGTGGGGGTTTCAGCCTGGTTGTTCTTTAAGCGTTCGTTCGTCGAAAAAGCAAATGAAATATAACAAGAAAAGTTGGATGCGAGGGATCAACTCCACCAATCAATGCGCCAATAATCGCTGAAGCGAACGTAAAATTTCTGCAGGACAGCAGCTGTAAAGGAATTATGGCTTCGTCATAAGCATCCCTCGACTGTGTGTTCCCTGCCGTTGATCGAATACACAATCATGTCGCCCATAGGCTCCCGTAGGCGGCACCCAATTAAGGTGTTGGATGTTGATAAATGTTCAATCGACGTTTTAGTTTGATAATCAGAACATAATTGCAATAATCTTGATACAAAACATCACATGCCTCGAAAAAATGCTATCGATGAAATACAAGCACGACCCATGATTGAAGATATATGGTCCCTCTAAAGGGAAAATGAAAAAAAATAACCTTTATGCGATATTACTGCCCACCTCCCCTAGTTATATATGACCCTTTCTAATTATATATGACCCTTTCTAATTATATATGACCCTTTCTAATTATATATGACCCTTTTGATCTAAGAAAACGCAGAAAATTGTGTGTTGTGACACTGGCTTTATTGTTGCAACGACGTCGCTGTAAATCTTTTGTGACGTCATGAACAATGGATGACCTCGTCTTCATTTCATATGATGTCACGTTGCTGTGGGTATCTTCGCAAGCAATGGCATAATTGGAACGCACTAGCTAATCAGCATAAAATAATTCATTGCTTACTGACAATAATGTCACCTATATCCGTTCCCTAGTGGTAATATCCTAATGTTGATAGTTCTCTCAGCACTGATTAAGTATGTTGCTTTATCACAGAGTATCATATCATTGTACATTGGCCATCTGGGGCATATGTAAATAAAAGCGACAAAATCCCTTTCCATATTCACAAGACATCTCTCGAACATGAAACCGTGATGTCTCTTGGAAATAACAGCTCTGCGTAATTCGCTGTGCAGAGTTGCGTCCCTTGGGCACGCCAGATGATTGTGGGTTCGAATCCAGGTTCGCCCCGATTATGTTTCTAGGTTTGTCAGCACCTTACCCGTGCTCGAGGGTTTCACCAAGGGTGTAAACGTCTAAGACCTGCATCACTTCGGGCTTTCCTCCCACATCAAGCTGACACGCCGTGATATAACTGGAATACAGTTAAAAGTGGCGTTAAACCCAATTCACTCACTCACTCTTGGGGAAGTTGGATCAACATAGACATCCTTCAGGAAGATTTAATAAACAACTTATAAACATCGATATACAAGAAATATTTAAGACCAGCAGACATTACAATGATGAGCGGAGTTTCCGGTTCAGACATTATGGGTAAGTTCAACCTCCGAGTGTGTCCATCGACTGGCCCATGGCTGAATCAAAGCCCGAAGTGATGCAGGTCTTTGATGTTTACCACTTCGGTGAAACCCACGAGCACGGGTATGGTGCTGACAAACCTAGAAACATGATCGGGGCCAACCGGGATTCGAACCCACAATCATAAGGACGTCCCCCCCCCCCCCCCAACGACCACGCTGTTTCGAAACTTGGACTCGTTGACTTGCCGGCATCGTACACCGACGTCGACGTTACTCCTGTAATGCTAATATCAATCACTGGATTGTCCAGAGTAGATTATTACAGACCACTGTCGTACAACTTGCATATTGGTGAGTGAGAGGTATAGCAACGTCTCAACAAACGTGTAACGCTATAACTAATCATGATCGCTATACTGATGCTTCGATGTGGTGTCTGGGCACGAATTAACGAGTATCAATACTTCAGCTATGTTTCTTATTTAATAACTATATCCGATTCTGTTAATCCAAATTAGTCTCTTTCGTGACGAACAGCGGGGCGCTTTGAATTAAATGGTGTTCTCAGCGCGGGTTAAAGACCAGCATACATTGTACACAATGAACACACTACACAATAACCACCAGCAGCAGCAAGCTTGACCCCTTTTGTAATATTACAATAGGTTAATTAACAGTGTTTTTCAACCGTTGACAATGCATTGGATTATGTCTTTTTTTTTATAGAGCAAGCAGAAAATTGTTTAACAGATTTGAATGACAGACAATTCTGTAAACTTAGTACTTCATCACATAATTTGAATGCGAATTTGGTTCGTAAAAATAAGCGTATTGAAATAGACAAGTATGTGTGTGACTTATCCCTGTTTTGATAACGCTGCATTTTTAAGGCAAATTGCAGGTTTAATCATGGCTGATTACTTAGTATTGTCTCCGAAAGTTATGCATAAAGATTCCTTAAGGAAAACTGAGGGTGCCAACCTCACCCCAGGCATCCAGCATACCACTTAATTTGTCTTGGCATCCAAATCGAGAGACGTATCAGTGTACATAGCTGGTACAAGTAAATTTCATTGGGATTTCCACATAAAATGCATTACCAAGCATACTATATATTGATTTGTCACATTTTGCAAGAAACCAAGACGAAAATAGATTTCAACATTGAGATATTGGCATCCGTGTAAAAGTCACGCATTTCTTGTCATCCAGCGAAATGCACTGCGGCATTTCTGTAAGACAGGGCTCCGCATCCCGCGTACCCAAGGGGGTTCTCATGCTCAATCCTTAAGTCTCTCAATCTCAGAGCTGACATAAGTATAGCTTACTTGTAACGGGAATGGGTATGAATGGAATGAGGAGGTGGTACCTTTATTAAATGCATATATACATGTTCTAGGGGCAGTAACGGATACTACAAGTTACTCTGTACAGCGAATGCTGCGGCACCTTAGAGGTTTGGGCCAGTGTCAACATAATAATAGTCCGATAACAAAGATAAACTGTCTTATGTAAAAATCAAGGAACAGTGAAGGTTGTTGCAATCTCCTTGTTCGAACATACAATAGTCTTTTGTCAATAAAACTATGCCGATGTTTTTTACAAATAAACAATAAATTGGCATAATCACGCATGATAATGACAGCTGCTCGATCGCCTTTCCAAGCCAGTCGCAGGCACTAACGGGAACCAGTCTGAGTGCTTTCCTCACCCACCGAAGCTCCATCACAACGCGTGACACAATCGCTTACCCTATCGTGTGCAAATGTCGCTGAAAGGAGCTTTAAATCTTTTCACGCGCTGTTACGAATGTAGGCGGCGCTTTAGCTTCCATAGTGACAACAAACAAACTTCCGCTGATGGTTGCCGGGGATCTCTAAGCAACGTTTATCCTGTTTCTCCTCACGTCTAGCCCATGTAGATTACTAAAGGAGGGGAAAAGTAACTCTCAAAGTACACTCGCAGCACACAATAGGCAAGTATGGCGACGGCAACACTTCTGAGCCGTGAGATTCCTCCTGAAAGGCCTGTTCTGAAGTCAGAATCAGGCTCTATTAATAATGGAATGGAGACAGTTTACACTGGCAACACTGGAAACAACATGGGCATATCCACCGAAGGATTTAGGTCGGCTAAGTACAATCCTTCAGAATGGCACGAAAGTAACTACTCGAAATACTACCAATCGTTTGTTGACAGAGATGGGGCGGAAAAGTTGCGCCACGAATCAAAGAGAGTTTCAAATGAAACTGAAGCAACAACAAACAAAACACAGTCCGAGGTGACCAAGAAGCTGAACGAAAGAGTCCAAGATATCCACTTCTGGAAATTCGAATTGGAAAGAGAAATTGGTGATGTTATTTCTGAAACAGACTTGTTGCTTGCCCAGAAAAAGCGGCTGGAGAATGCCCTCCGTGCCACTGAAGTACCTCTCCATATTGCAACAGACAATCTCAACTGTAGGCAAAGGAGACAGGGAGTGGATCTGGTTCAGGATGACCCAGAACTGTCGTTATTAAAGGTATGATTGAAGGGTGTTGCATGGTTAGCCATCGAGCCAATCATCTTTGATTGTAGTGTATCTTTTACCAAATGCATAGTCAGAATTATAACTTGTCATGTAATTACATATATAGCTGCCATCATAACTATGTACTGATCAGGTGTCAGGGGACCCTAATACTACAGTCTATCCTTACTGATCTGTTTTAACTATATGGGATCTACTGGGTGCAAATGCACAGCAACAGTTCACACCTTAATAACATTCTACTAAAGTTACATCTAGTGCCCCCCACCGTGATATTGCTGGAATGTTGCTAAAAGTGGGGTAAAACCATACTCAATCACTTAAGTTACATGCTTCAATAAAGTGCAAATTAAGCAATATCGTGAAAATAGTTATACGCCAAGATCCCAAACCATTTTCTCTTAAATATGGCCAAACATTGGAGGTTGACAATATTGGGTACATCTGTTCTACGCAAAACAAAATTTATGTGTCAAAAATCATATTTGTATATATAAGATATCAATGTTTTTCATTTCAGGAGGTGGAGATAATTAACAATGTTCAAGATCTTCTTCAGAAAACAATTGGTCAAGCTGATGCACAGATAAAGTAAGATATCCCAAATTCATAAAAATTATTAAAAAAAATTCTCATAAACATTAAACATGTTAAACACAGACTTTAAATATCAAAGCTTACAATGTTTTCAGAATTATTCACCTTAAAGTTACTATTTTCAGATTAATTATACTTTGACATGGTGCATAAACAATTTTCATTTCTTGTTCAAGGCAGAACAGAAATGCAAAGCAGGATCTGGAAATGGATTGGAGTGATAAAAAGGAAGCATTGGAAATTGACACAAAATGTGCATCACTCCGAAATCACCACACTCACAAACAGTTCTACCCTGGAGCAGCTAAGTTCCAAGAAATGTAAGCGAAATACAAAATAGTGTCGCAGAGACAGTATTTGATTGCATCATTGAAAAGGGCTTCTTTTTTTTATCAAAATCATTATTTGTTTTTACCAAACCACACTTAAAACCGACCATTCAATTCCTAACTTAAGCATAACAATCCAGTATTTGTATATGTTTATCCTTTCTCAAGAACAATGAGCCAAATATAATACAGTTTTGGAAAAGCACATTAGTAGTATGAATGAACACTTGTGATCACTAAATAATCACATTTCCAGCCAATCCACCCCCGAGTCCTGGGCTCAGTTTTCACACGACAACATTGTACGAGCTGAGCATGAGCGAATGGCCTCCATCCAGCTGCGAACCCTCATAGACAACATCTTGGAGGACACATCCCGTGACATGCGGGAACAGTGTGATGCAGTGGATGTTGCCTACCAGAAACGTGTTGAGGACATGGAGGACGCCAAGACCAAGCTTGAGGAAAATCTTCACAAGGTCAGGCTTTCTATCACAATAATTTGTTCAGGCCATATCAATATATTTGAATGGGTTTGTCTTAAATTTGTGGAATTCAAAGCAAACAAGAACATCTATATGCAAGTGAATGCAAAACATTTTACCTTGTTGGGAAGACATTGTCACTGGAAAGCCATACAAGCAGATGATGCACAAAGGGACATAACTCCAATTTCTTACCACCCAGGCTGATAGCGATCGCCCATTGAAAATGCATTGACAAGCCAGATCAGCCTGGCAGGGGATGTAATATGGGTCAGGTTATTACACCCCCTGTGAAATGACCATGTTAGGTTGACTCTGTCACACATGCAAAAGTGCTTCATATATTTCATAGGTATATGATTATCCATATCAGTATATGGGTGTCATAGAAAGCTGTATTTGAGGAGTGGACACGTTAGGAGTGACAGTTAAACAAATGTGGTGTATGGGTCTCGTTGCCATGCCTCGTGTCAAAAACCAAGGACAGATAATTATGAAATACAGTGTCATGTTGAAGAGACTTTCATGTCGAGTTTGGCGTTATCTTGCCATTCCAGTCATAAATCACACACCCAGTTTATTACAGGGGTGCAAGCCTCGTCAGACATATATTGATCACAATAAATTGGGAAGTGCATGAGAAGGTGTGCAGACCCATAGATTTGCCTCTTATTTGAAGTACCAAAGTCCTTAAAACACAAGTTAAATGAAAATTATGTATGTCTGAAAATATTTTAATGTTTTTAATCATTCTCACATTTGTTTAAATGTGCCTATCTCTAACTTGTAGTGGCCACCGCATTTCATTGATTTTCTTTAGGTCATTGTGTATTACTCTCGTCCATTTGCATCATGGAGAAAGTAACAGTGACAAAATGCTTTCATCTGAAGATGTGCATGTGTTTCCTTGCTTCAGAAGTAAGAGCTAGATTGTTCCTTTGTGTGCAGGTGTGTGATGAGATCAGCAGCCAGGAGAAGAATATTGAGAATTTGAAGAGGGCCATTCGGGACAAGGAGGACCCACTCAAGGTTGCTCAAACTCGCCTCCAGAACAGAACATTCCGTCCAGGAGTTGATCTTTGCAGAGACCCTGTGCAATACCAGTATGTACAATTTAACTTCAAACACAGAAGTCAGATATGGTTAAGTTAAGCATTGATCTAGCAATTGGGATACAATGACATGCATCAAGCAAGTCAGCGAGTCTGACCACCCAATCCTGTAAGTTGCCTCTTATGACAAGCATGGGTTGCTGAAGACCTATTCTAACCCAGATCTTCACGGGTCAGTCACAAATGGAGGTTATCACAAATCTGTTGTTTTCTGTACAGAAATTCAGATAGTATTTTTATTTCATTATCATTGAAACAAAAAGCATTTTTATTATATTATTATATTTTAGTTATTAAGATGCAGAACAGGATGATCTGATATCAGTATCAATTGGCATTTGTTAATAATTCCTTCCTATTTCACTCCTGCAGGCTCGTTGGTGAGGTAAATGAGATCTGCCAGTCAGTTGATGCCCTCCAGGCCAAGCTGAACGATGCTGTCAACTCCTTGAAGGATCTCCAGGACAACCGTATGTCTCTAGAGAAGGAGATCTCTTGCAAGAAGAACAGTCTCTTCATTGACAGAGACAAGTGCATGACCCATCGCACCCGCTACCCAACCACCCTTAAACTCCAGGGCTATCAGTAAAGTCTAGGCATACAAGTCAAATAAAAATATCAGAGAAACCAGTACCGTTGAAGTTAATTATATAATGATTGTTAAGTATTAACTTTTACAGCTGATGGAGTTCACTCTGCTCTGTCAGCTGTTCATTTCACTGTTACATGATTATTTGGAGATACATTTGTTGTGGTTTATATATTATTTTTGTTTGTTTTTGTTAAAACAGGACCAACCAAATGATGCAAAACACACACTGTAACCTTACTTGTAGAATATACACAAATGGATATCTTTTAAGTTTTAGTTCATGAATGCCATTTTGTTTGGTTATTTCTGTGTAGTCCACGGCTGTGATATTAAAACTATAAATTGTATTCCATTTCCAAGATGTAGCATTGCAGCAGTTTGCAGTTGACGTGTCATTACCCTGCTTGTTGATTTATCTTCAAATACTGTCTCTTCACTTGGCCAACTGTACATACTATAATAACTATCTGTAGCACTGAAAAAATCTTTCCAAGTGCAAATCGAGGCTTGTGTCACATGTATTTCATCAGTATTATTGTTTACGCCAATTGGAGCCGCACACAAAGATCTCTTAAAGTGATTAATAATGCTTATTTGTATATAAAAGATGAATAAACCTACAATAAGCATCATCAGTCCTGTGTTGTCTGTTGTATCTTCATACAATGTTTCTTCTCATTCTGAAGACAAGGAGCATCTGCATGTCCCAAAATCCTGCACCACCCCCTCTCCCAATTCCTAAAGGGAATTCATCAATCTCACTAAAATCAGATCTAAGTTCTCGCTGCCGCTAAACGACCTTTCGCAAACATTGACTGACCACTGAAACGAAGAACAAGAAGTCGACATCAGCTAATTAGAAAACAGCTTTCTCAAACTTTATGGCTCTCGTTTCAATCTGGCGACTTCCATTTCAGACTATGCTTGAAAAATATGTTGACACAGTTCTCGATTAAAATTTTGAAAACTGAAAAGAACAATCCGGAATGTCTAATAAATGGTTACGATTGTATTGCACTGCTTCCCACGTACTGTGCAACGCCTCCTCCTTTCAAATGTTTATCCTACAGAAGCGAGAGACAGACGATAATTTTGACGGAATCAGTCGTACTGGCTGTAACTGTCATTCGGAATACCCCGTTTTAACGTTTTCGAGGTTGCATGTTGAGAAAACACATTCCGACTGTCACTTTCATGATCTGGTAAGCGACGCTTTGATTGGTCAGATGAAAGTTCGTTCTGACATGACCCGTAATGAAATATCCTCAGATCTTTGTTTAGCGATAGCGAGAACTAAGATCTGATTTTAATGAGATTGGGAATTCATATACAATGTTAAATTCCATCTATCAGCTGTTACATTTCATGACAAAGTACATCATTAAATGATCTACCTCATCCACCAACATCAGTTCAGTTTGAGATTTCAGTCAAAAGAATGTCTTAACCAAGAGCAAAATCTGAACTAGAAAAATCCTTTTACCATCTTAGCTCAAGGAGTCAAAAGGTTGCACCAATTAACCAGTAGTTGAAGGTGTGAGAATAAGGATCCCTTTTGCCCTGATAATTCTAGGTCTGTCTACACAATACATGTTTTTGGGTTTTGCTACAGTGGTAAATGTCTTCGACTTGTGACTCATCTAAATGAATGCTATGGTAAAACTGAATTACTGTCCAAAGCTGTGGGGGTATTGGAAACGTTTTTATTCAGCATGTGTTGTAGCACGCATATAAATGGCCAATTTGCACCAGTGTTGCACCTTAAGTGCTGTAAGAGGTTTCCACATTTACAAGACACTTGGACCCCTAAACGTTGGTGATGTCCTGAATACTATAGCGACATTTTAAATGCATAGGGCTGACACGCATATTGGTTTGTAGTTACTTTGTTTGTTCTTTTGACAACTGTCATTTCAATTGTGAACGTGTTCTCAACTCAAAATTTTCAAGTTGAAAAAAAAATCATGTCTTTTGTTTAAGTATTGCTTTGTGATTCAATTTGTGAGTATTGTTTCATTAAACTCTGGATATTCTTTCTTCCTGTTGTGTTTTTTTTCCATTTTCGTTATTAAGCCCATGGCTTAAATTTGAATAAAAAGTTTCTCAATTAAATAGGCAAAAAAAAAGGGCTTAATTACAGCCCAGGCTGCAGTTGTACAAAAAACCAACCTAAGACTGTCGTAAGTCTATGTTAATACTTGGGAGTCACGATCACCATAGCAATCATATCGCTTTGAACAACGACGTTCAGTGCTTTAAAACTTGCAGTTCTAGTACCTAGTACCATAGACAATCATGTAGGTCCACTGGGGTGTATTTCTTCTCGTCTCTCAATGTTTGATGAGGTAGACTTGAGGGAGGTGGATGTGTATTGATTTCTACATTTGCTCTGCAGAGCATAATAATCTCATTCAATGTTACTGGTACACTGTGCTATTTGAATATAATCTTTGACGTGCCTGATTTATTACTTGTCCAATCATCAGTATTTACTGGGAGTTGCTTACCAAGCCTGTGTCATGCATTTATAAAGACTTATACCATACTGGTGTATAACTACAGACTGCTCAATATCTAGGTTTAGTGGATGTGATAATGTGACAAAAATATGTTAAATGAAACTTGAAATAACACACCAGAGCAGAATTTGGCAAATGTATCAAGTGTATATGGTGTTACACCTTATTGTCAGCAATAATTCAAAAAGTGTTTGAAAATATGTGTGTATGATGATAAGCTGGGCTACATCATTATTCCATCTGTATCATGGCTTCGGACACCAAGAACAGGTTTCACCTATTGCACTCAGTTCAAACCTAAGACAGGTGTGAGTGAATACTTTATCCATCAGGCTACCCCACAGCCCTGTCTGCTGTGAAGTGAGTGTATATATAGTTTTATGCTGCAACCTATAAATAATCAAATGAGAAACAGGCAAATCCAGACCCAAGTTGTATGAAGCAATGACATTCAAATAATAAGCAATATCTTGTAACCATCCAATCCTACTGAGTAGACTTGTACAAGAAGCATGCAGTTCTGGGGTCTTATTCTGCCTTGGAATCTGCATGCGCTAGTAAGCTACTTTGAACAAACTTCAGTTATGTCATGGCACCTTGGACCACCAATGCCACACAAGTGTTTAAATGTGATACAGATGCCAATTTCAGTAATTTCACCATGAAACATGCTCAGCTCCTTTTAAGTCTCTATCAACAAATGATAAACATATTCCATGAAAGCAAATAAATAACTGTTTTCATGGTTGGATCAGGGAAGAGCACAATTTAAAATCCATCTCCTAATGAATGCCATCAAGTGCAGTGGAGATGCTTAGCCTCCTGCTCAGTTCCAGTTACCAGATATGTCGTCAAAAACAAACATGGAAATATGATGAGAATTTAATGGATGTCAATTGGAAATAAGCTGTTCAAACAACATTCTAACAACATCATAAAATATATCACTTAAAATGTAGAGACATGAACAAGTATAACAATTTTCGTTCACAATGGACAAAAATAATTGAAATGTTTATTGATACAGCTGGTGATGAATAATGGGTATATACAAATATGTTGACATAGATGGACATGTAATTCACATTTGTACAAAAGCTGAAAAATATCTGATACAAAAAGACTAAAAAATGCTGCTAATTACACTGTAAAGCAAAATTCTATTAGTACCACAGAATCATAGTGCCTGACAATAGTGTTTGTGAATATGTTTCTACAACACTGCAACACAAATCAGGACTGAGGAAATACAATGATTATACACACATTGTTTCTTCCAATTTACAAAATCCTGTGGTGATTACAAAATGCATTTGTATTAAATAGGTAGTGTGAGTTTTCAATGATACATGAATCAAGTCCAACATTGTTTAGCTGTTGTAAACACATTGCTTGAAATATCCTATAATGCAGAATATCATACATTCATCACACATTATGAACAAACAGCCACATATATTATGGTTGTCTGTTCAACTTATTTTTCCTGTAATTCATATCCATTCTTTTCACAATATCACCAAATGAGGAAACTGATAAAATTCCTGTTAGAGAATCTTAGCAGATCACATACTTGTCAGAAAATGCTATTTATCATACTGAACACATCTGTGTGCACACATCCTGACCAAACTACCCATTAAGACAACATTCCATCTAGAATCTGCGGACTGTTCCTTGCTGCAAATAGCGTGCCTCTGGTTGTCTGGTTATTCCACCCATCATCATAAGGTTTGTGTTTTGTGGGGCAGTAGCCATGTACAGTCCTGGTCCCCCAATGTTGTTCATCAGACTTCCCCCCAAGTTGAACTCTCCTCCTCGGTCACTGTGTGTACTCTGGACGCCCATCCACCGGTCACCACCACTGGCTCCTCCTCGAGCTCCAGAGTTGTCCGCAACACCATGGCCCCAGGACTGATCAATCTTGCTACGGTCTGTGGCATTTCCCCACGACTGACGCTGATTGGAATTAGCACCATCTGTAAATATAATTACTCATAAATATGACAAACATGTTCAAATAGTTGAGTGGGCTAATTATTGGTCTGTGTTTGATTGTAAATTGACAGTCAAATCTAACATGGCAAAACTCACTTGATATCATACTAGATCCAGAATTATAATTCTTGCCACGTCTGTCATCTTGCACCCCTGAGCCACTTTGTCCCTGCCAGGTGTCACGTCCACTTGCTACAACCATCCTTGTGTCTGTAACCACAAACACTCATATTAGACTATAACAATGTTCTGGAATTGAAACAAGGCAGCCACATAAATATTGAAGTATATCTACCACCACCCCTCCAAATCCTTTATTTACATTCTTACCTCTATCTGATTTCCAGTCACTCCGAGAATCATGGCGTTGAGGTAATCTAGTGGTCCGTCTGTCATCATCTCTACCTTTGTTGAAATCTCGTCTGTTCTCATCCTGGTGATTGTGCGTCCGTGTGTCTCGTCTCTCATCTCTGGGGTTTCTAGTTTCAGAATATCTGAAGATAGGTAGATGCTCACAAATCCACATTAACCATAGCAGGTAGATCTACATTTACCTTAAGTTAAGTGGCATAACTAAACATCTGTACTTGATCCCCTGATATTTCTTAATGGTTAGTTATGAAATATCTTGTAAACAATCATTTGAGCCAGGCAACTCAAATCATTGGGGTACGATGACACACAAAGTAACCACCCGACTGGAGTACTGTAGATCCCTACTTGGGCTATCCTTTAATAAACACAGATTTACCTCTGGGCTTCTCCAAAGCCGTCTCCATGTCGTTCTTCCCTCTCACGTCCATGTTGTGCTGGTAAATCCCTTCTATCATTTCGGTTAGAACCTCGAGTATCTGTATTACGACTATCTCGCCTCTCATACCGCTCCACCTTCCTGTCTGCATTGCCACTGCGGTCAAAACGATTCTCTCGTCTGAAAAGAGGAAACAATCTTGATTGTTGCGCACTGAATTTCACTCATCAGAATAACACTTTCAAGTTATTGTTTGCATACAAGGATGTTAAAATCATACTTATGGTGACTTCATGTGAAAAGGACAACCAAGCTTTAACTAATGAAAACTTTAGGCTGTTTGTTACACACCTAGAATCACCGTAAC